CCGCTGACTTTTGGGTTAGCAGCTGAATGCTTAACCACTGCGCCACCAGGGCTCCAAATCAGGAACAGCTAATTTTGGATCCCTGGTGGCACAGTGGTTACGAGCTCGGCTGCTAACCGAAACATGGGCAGTTCGAATCCACCACCTGCTCCTGGGAAACCCTATGGGGCAGTTCTACTCTGTCCTATAGGGTGGCTATGAGTCAGAATGGACTCAATGGCAATGGGTTTTGTTTTATTCCTAATTTAATTTTTAAAAAGTAGCAGTTTAATTTTCAAACTTCTATATGTCACTAAGAGCTGTTTACTTTTTATCTTCCACTCCCTCTACAGTCTCCTTTCCACAGAGCAGCTAGGGTGACTGATCTTTTTAAAATAGCAAATCCAATCTCCTCACTCTCCTGCCCCAACCCCTCCAGTGATTTCCCATCCCATTCAAAATGAAATCCAAAGTCCTTCCCCTGGCTTACAAAGCCCAACCTCAGTGGCTCTCACTGTGGGCTAATCCCCGAAACCACCAATACCCTAGAGATTCTGATTTAATTGGTCTGGGGACTTTTTAAAGTTTCCGAGGCGAGTCTCCAGTGTAGCTCCAACCGAGAACTACCGTTCGGAGGATCTGGCCTTTGTCGACTTCCTGACCCCATGCTCTTCTTCCAAACAGCTTTTCCTCACGCAGGACAAGCCCGCGCCAGCTCATTCTAAGCCTTTACCTTTGCTGCTCTCGCCTCCCTCCTGCGGACACCTGCATGGCTTCACCTCACTGCATTGGGTCTCTAAGTGTTACTTCCTCAAAGGGCCTTCCGTGACCACCATACCCTTATCCTACTTTATTCTGCTTCACAGCAATTACCGCACATGGCATTTCAAATATACTATTGTTGGGTCTCCCCGACCAGAATCAAGCTCCGAAGGGGCAAGGATTTTTGATCGTTGTAGTCCCCCATGCATCCCTAGCACCCTGCACAATGCCTGGCATGAAGAACGGGCTCGCAGATATTACCGGAACAGACTGCTGATGAGTCCTCGTGGAGGGAGCACCCTGTCTGCTCATTCAGAAAGCGGGGGTGGGATGGTGAGCAGGACAGCCGTTGTCCTCCCCCTCAAGCAGCTCATGTCCCACGCCATTCAGCTACCCTGACAGTAGGGAAGGTCCAGCTATAAAACGGAGCTGTGGTGATGACACAGTACTCACCGCACAGAGTTGTAAAGACTAAATACTTAATACCCACAAAGCACTTCACTAATACACCGCCTGGCAGACAGTTTGAATACTATTATTCAAGCTCAGGGGGATGACTCCTCCGTCGCCCCTCCTCAGTCAAGAGAAGCCACTAGGCCTATGAGACTCTCAACCAGGCCTGGCAGACCAGAGACCCGGGAACTGTGGGCTTGGATATGTAAGGGTATAAACTTTCAGTCCCAGAGACTTGATACATAACTTATTTCAGGTCCTGGGACTCACAGCCTTCCCCATTTCAGCCAACAGCACCTCCATCCTTCCAGTTACACAGGTCCAAACCCTTAGCTATCCTCGACTCCTCTAACACACTCTGCGGGCTTCTACCTTGAAATCATGTTCCAAATCAAGACAAGTGGCCAGCCACGTCCACTGCTAACACTGCTTCAAGCCACCACCATCTCCTTCGGGGTTCCGGCAACAAGCTCCCACTGATGTGCCTGCTTCCACCCTTGTTCCCTCCTAGTCTCTCTTCCACACAGAAGCGAGGCTGGTCCTTTACGAAATGCCAATCAGTACCCCGGCCCTGCTCAAAGTTTCCCGAGGGCTCCTCTCTCACTCAGACTAAAGCCCTTACCAATGACTGGCTCCTGACAGCTTCTACAGCCTCACATCCAACCACACGAGGGGGAAGGGGCTGGGGTGGGGTCGGGTGGGGAAGAAAGTGTATCCACCATTTACAGATGACAGGATGCCTGCAGGCAAGCCAGAATCTTACAGAGATACCTGGCCTAGCACCGCCCCCAATCCCACTTCATCAGATCCCCAAATAACTGAGAAAGGAGGCTTGGGAGGGGAGCATGGATCCATAAATTCTCCCCTTCCCAGATGACACTACCTAACCCACATCAAAAAAAGGAAAGAAAAAGAAAAGCATGTCCTTAAAAAAAGGGGGGGGGGGCCTTCTGGCCATGGGCGGGAGATTTCCAATGGGGAGAGTGGAAAAGGGGGTGAGGCTGAGGGGAGGGGGCAGGAGCTGAGAAACCAGGCATAAGGACCTGTTACAGACTGTCCCTCAAAATGTGTGTTGTAAATCCTAACCTCTCTGCCAGGGTTATAATCCCATTTGGGAATAGCTTGTCTTCGCTGTGTTAATGAGACAGGATTAGGGTAGGGTGTGTCTTGGGTCAATCTCTCTTGAGATATAAAAGAGCTTAAGCCAGACAGAAGTAGAGATGGGGGAAAAGAGATGCCAAGCTCCATGAAGATGGCCCAGCAGCAGAATCTCAAAGAGACAAGGACTCTCCTCCAGAGCTAAGGAGAAAGCCTTCCCCTAGAGCCGGCACCCTGAATTCCAACTTCTAGCCTCCTAACCAAAAATAAAAAAAAAAATAAAAAAAAAAAAAACCTGTCACCATGGAGTCAATTAGGACTCATAGCCACTCTATAGGACAGAGTGAACTGCCCTATAGGGTTTCCAAGGAGCAGCTAGCGGATTCCAACTGTCAACCTTTTGGTCAGCAGCCGAGCTCTAACTGTGAGAAAATAAATTTCTGCTTGTTAAAGACGCTCACTTGTGGTATTTCTGTTATAGCAGCACTCGATGACTAAGACAGGACCCTCATTTTGTTCCCCTTGACAATGATAACAATTAAAGCCAATACACCAACACTAAGCAATTACATGTCACGCACCGTTTTAATTTTGCATGCTCTCCCTTAATCCTGACTGGGCCCCATTTCATTGATGAGAAAACTGCGGCTCGAAAAAGTAAAGGCACTTGCCCAAGGTCACACCAATGGATTAAGAAATAGATTAAGCAGCAGAGCCAGAGCTGAAACCTTGAATGGAGGCCCGTCTGCTGTCAAAGCCAGGACTCCCATCATTTCATCATCAGAAGCCGGGGTGGGTTCATCAGAATTTGGGGAAGATCGAACGAACCATTCATTTTCTATGACTAGCTCCTGTCGCCCACCCCTCCCATCAGTCTTGAGCTTGTGGAGTTTCATCTCATCGCGGAGTTGGGAATCACCAGGCCCACAATCTCCACTCCATCCCCGGGCAGCCGCTCCCGGGAAGACTAGAGAGCGGGAAAGTGAGTCAGACCGGCTGCAGACTATCAAGCGCGGCGGGGAATCCTCGTCCGCTACTTGCCCCCTCCGAGAAGCCGGGTTGGGGGCCGAGGGGATGGTGGCGGCACAGACAGGGAAGAAAAACGGAGGGCATCCCACACTCAGCTCCCGGACCCCAAATCCGAGACTCCCCATCCTCGTCGTAAAACAGATCCTCAAAACCACGCCCAGAGAGATCCAAGACCTCAGATGTCTCGATTCAGACTGAGCCAAGTGGCGCCCCCGGGCCAATATCCTGGATGCCTAATGACGGCCCGAATAGGGCAAATCCCAGTTCAGGAGCCCCCAATCCCAGGCCCAAGACCCTCGACTGCCGAAGCCAGTCCCAAACCCCACACCAGGAACCCGCCCCCCGGGCTCAGGGTCGATCCCAGGGCGGAACCAGGATCCCCGCCTCACACGAAACCAGAACCCCAGCCCCACACGCGACCGGATCCCAGGCTCAGAACCTCTGCCCTCAGGCCAAGGCCCCGCCCCCCAATTCCGGCCTGGCACCCAGACTCCAGCCCAGGGCCAGTCCCTGAACCCAACCCCAACCCCGGCCTGCACCTGGCCTCATGCTGAGCCCTGCGCTGCGCGGCTCCCAAGTCTGCGGCGACCCCGACTCCACGCGTCTCTGGCTTTCGCACGTGGAGAGGAGCGCAGGCGCGCGGCGACGCACGGTGCGTGCGCAACCGCGCTGCCCCGCCCCTCGGGGGGTCTCCGCGGCGTCTGTGGCCGGGCGCGCGCGCAGGGGCGGGGATTCCCCAGGCTTCTGGCGGCAGCGCCGTCTCCGTGCCGCTCAAGCTGTTCCCGTTGATAACTTCCGTAAACAAGCCTCCTTCAGCAGCGCGGCGAGCATCTCAGAAATCAGGGCTCATACTGAGACCTTCGCATGGGCTGTGCCCTCTGCCCCTCTTCTCTATTCCTAGCTAACTCCCTAAGGTTCCCCTTGACACCCAAAAAGGCTTCTCTGGCCAGTTTACACCCTCCAGAACAGGGACCCACTCTGGGCTCCCATTCATATATCCAAAAAATGTTTATTGTGATCCTTTTATGTACCTAGGACAGTTCTAAGCTCTGGGAAGACGACAGTGAACAAGACAAGAATCCCCGCCCTCCTGGAGCTCATCTTGGCCGTGGGAACGGGTGGGAGGAGCGAGGACAGACAACAAACAAGTTAGTGGAACGTGTTGAATGTTAACCAAAAACTAAACTCGTTGCCGTCCAGTCAATTCGGACTCATAGCGACCCTATTGGACAGAGTAGAACTGCCCCGTAGGGTTTCCAAGGAGCGGCTGGTGGATTCGAAGTACCAACCTTCTGGTTAGCAGCCGAGCTCTTGAGCTCTTAACCACTGCGCCGCCAGGGCTCCTTAATAAATCTCAAAAATTTCAAAAACTAGCAATTAATCTGCGTGCCTTGGCTAACAACATTAATGTTAGCAAGCAATAAATGCCTTGGAGGAAATAGGGTCCGTTGGAGTAATATTTTTATAAGATGGCCAAAGAAATTTATATGTGACTTTGGAGCAAGGACCTAAAGGGGGTGAGGAATGAGGCACGCACCTATTTGGTGAAAGAGAGTCCCAGGCATGGATTTACCACAGTTGAACAATTCACCTGTTGAAGGGCATCAAGATTAATTCCAGTTTTGGGCTATTACCAAAAAAAATTACTATGCAGTTTGTCTACAGGTTTTTGTGTGCATATACGTTTTCATTTCTCTGGCATAAATGCCCAAGAGTGCAATTGCTGGGTCATATGATAATTACATATATAGTTTTATAAAAAACTGCCAAATTGTTTTCTAGAGTGGCTGTACCATTTCACATTCCCACCAGCAGTGTATGAGTGATCCCATTTCTCTGCATCCTTGCCAACATTTTGTGGTGTTACTATTTTTTATTTAAGCGATTTTAATAGATGTGTAATGATATGTCATTGTGGTTTTAATTTACATTTCCCTGATGGCTAATGATGTCGAACAACTTTTCTTGTCTTATTTGACATCTGTATATCTTCTTTGATAAAATGTCTCTTCATGGCTTCGTCTTTTTTCTCATTTTATAATGGCATCAACACCCATGTAAGCAGCAGTCAAGAAATCAGAAGGCACACTGTACTGGGCAAATCTGCTGCAAAAGACCTCTGTCTTAGTCATCTAGTGCTGCTGTAACAGAAATACCACAAGTGGATGGCTTTAACAAACGAAAGTTTATTCTCTCATAGTCTAGTAGGCTAGAAGTCCAAATTCAGGGTGCCAGCTCCAGGGGAAGACTTTTTCTGTCAGTTCTGGAGGAAGGTCTTTGTCATCAATCTTCCCTGGGACTAGGAGCTTCTCCTCGCAGGAACCCTGGGTCCAAAGGACACATTCTGCTCCTGGCACTGCTTTCTTGGTGGTATGAGGTCCCTAATTCTCTCTGCTCACTTCTCTCTTTTATATCTCAAAAGAGATTGGCTTAAGACACAGTCCAATCTTGTAGACTGAGTCCTGCCTCATTAACATAACTGCCGCCTGTTCCACCTCATTAACATCATACAGGTAGGATATACAACATATAGGAAAATCACATCAGATGACAAAATGGTGGACAATCACACCATACTAGGAATCATGGCCTAGCCCAACTAATACACATATTTTGGGGGGACACAATTCAATCTATGACAACCTCTTTGAAGTGTTGAAAAGCAAAGATGTCACCTTGAAGACTAAGGTGCGCCTGACGCAAGCCATGGTGTTTTCAGTCACCTCATATGCATGTGAAAGCTGGATGATGAATAAGGAAGACCAAAGAAGAATTGATGCCTTTGAATTGTGGTGTTAGCGAAGAATATTGAATATACCATGACTGCTAAAAGAATGAACAAATCTGTCTTGGAAGAAGTGCAACCAGAATGCTCCTTAGAAGCAAGGATGGGGAGAGTACGTCTCACATACCTCAGACATGTTATCAGGAGGGATCAGTCCCTGGGGAAGGACATCATGCTTGGTAAAGTAGAGGGTCAGCAAAGAGGAGGAAGACCCTCAACGAGATGGACTGACACAGTGGCTGCAACAATGGGCTCAAGCATAACAAGGATTGTGAGGATGGCGCAGGACTGGGCAGTGCTTCCTTCTGTTATACACAGGGTTGCTATGAGTCGGAACCGACTTGACGGCACCTAACAACAACAACAATGGCATTGTTTGCTTTTCACTGTTGAGTTTTGAGAGTTCTTTATATATTCTAGATAGTAGTCCTCTGTTGGGTGTATGGTTTGTAAACATTTTCTTCTGATCTGTAACTTGTCTGCTCAACCTCTTCACATGGACTTTCACAAAGCAAAGTTTTTAATTTTGATATGGTCCCATTTATCACATTTTCCTTTTATGGATCATACGTTTGGTGTCAAGTCTAAGACCTCTGTGCCTATCCCTACATCCTAAAGATTTTCTCCTATTTTTTTCTAAAAGTTTTATACCTTTACATCTTACATTTAAGCTTAAGATTCATTTTGAGTTAATTTTTACATAATGTGTGAGATTTAGGTTAAGGTTGATTTTTTTTGTGCCTATGAATGTTCAATTGCTCCAATACCATTTGCTGAAAAGTCTGTCTTTTCTCCATTGGCTTGCTTTTGCACCTTTGTAAAAACTCAGTCGAGCATATTTGTGCCATCTGTTTCTGAAGTTGCTATTCTGTTCCACTGATCTATGTCTCTCCCTCAGCAAATACCATACTGCCTTGATTGTTGTGGCCTTAATACTGGGTACAGTGATTCTGCCCACTTTATTCTTCTTTGTCAAAATTATTTTAGTTATTCTAGGGCCTGTGCCTTTCCATGTGAGGTCCCTGGGTTGTGCAAAAGATTTGCACACCACTACTAACCTAAAGGTTGGTGGTTCAAACCCACCCATTGGTGCCATGGAAGAAAGGCCTGGTGATCAGCTTCCATAAAGATTACCCTATAAAGCAGTTCTACTCTGTAATACACGGGGTCGCCATGAGTTGGAATTGACTAGACAGCAATAGGTTTTTTGGCTCTTGTGCCTTTCCATGTAAATTTTAGGGTAAACTTGTCTATTTCTAAAAACAAAACAAAACAAAACCTTAATAAGTGTAAGAATGGCGTCAGGGCATCGAACCTCCTCATCTAACTTCACTTCACAAGGCAGGAGGGGAATCATTATCAGCATCAACAGCCCAAGGCTGATAGATATGAGGTGGAGATCAGGCATACCTCCACCCTCCAACCTTTTTGCCAATTCTGATACCAGCCATCCCTCCCACGGCACTCTCCACTTCTCTGCTGAGTTCAGTAGTTCATTGCCATGGCCACACAGAACTCACAGACCATACTCACAGTTACGGGGTTTATTAGAGAAGTAGCAGGTTACAGGTCAGGATCAGGAACTACTCAGGATACAGTTCTTCTCTCAGGATAGCTTCTCAGCCGTATCCACAAGAGGCATCTCTCTCTCTCTCTCTGCCACTTGGCCCCTTAGCCCCTTGGCCCCTCAGCACCTTGGCTCAGCCTCTGCCCTGCTCGGGCAAGTGTTGAAAAGCTATTTAGCTCCTCCAATAAGTGCCTGGAGGCACCCTACTCCACCAGTAAGCTGCGGCTGGAAGGCGCTCACCTCTCTCACTTCGTAGGTCAACACACTCACTCTAGACACCTTGCTCCATGATCTGGGAAGCCCATCACACCTTCTTGGGCCAGTCTCCTGGTATTGCTGCCTCTGTTTCTCTGCTGCTGCTTCTTGCCATCTCTTGCCATCTCTTGTGTTACAGCTCTCTCTCTCTGTCTCCTGAGTCTAGGAGGTTCTCAGCACAGGGACCCCCAGGTCCAAAGGACGGGCTCCACTCCTGGCTCTTCTTTCATGGTGGCAGTGAGGTCCCCCCTCTGCTCTGGGATTGGCTCTCTTTTAAGTCTAGTGAAATGGCAAAACTGTCCAATCCCCTCATTAGGGTTCCATACACCTTATTTGCATGGTCCCACCCCCACAGGGTTTCCATACACCTTATTTGCATTATTAGCAAGCTGTACAATTCCCTTGGTGGGCCACAAGCACCTTATTTGCATGGCCCCACCCAATCATTATGTAGGCGTCACAAGACCATGGAGAGAAAGGCCATATAAAATCAATTCATTGCGAAGCAACAGGATAGG